AAAAGCCATGCGCGACCGGCCTCAAGCAGTTGTCCCCTGGGCTCTGCGGTCACGCTCCCAGGTCGTTAAGACCAACACTAATCCAATTTCCTTTTTCAAGTTCCTGATTCAGAAGTATTCTCAAATCACTTATTATTGAATAATCATTGAAAAGTAGACAAACATGTAAATGACAATTTATTTTTCTGGGTTTCATTAATTTATAGAATTTTTTGTCTCTCTGTAAAACCATAGATACTTTTTATTGAACAAATATAATAATTCTTAGTGTTCTCATAGTGATATTGATTTTAATATAATCTACACTAAGTCATTTTAAATAGGAGAATTCCGTTTTTAGTTAGTGTTCAAATTGTTAATACGAGGCAAATGACTAGTGTGAATTTATGAATTGAAAATCAATATGAATAACCTAGAATTAGGTTTTCTACGTTCCTACTGGTATCAGTAATCAATATTTAGGGAAAATCAATGAGAATTGGATAATGTTTGAATATATATAGTTAATCATGAAAAACGTTTATCCGTTTATGCAAATGAAAAACAACAAGCAATGAACAGATAGATCTATATTGCAAGCAAATAAAACATTTTTAAATGAAATCTACAGTGAACTTTTATTTCATCCGGAAGTTCTTAAATTTCCCATAACCTGCAAGATTTCCGGCTTACAACTGTCTCTATGAAATACAACCCTGTTACGAGCATACATAATGTGGCAAAGCTTTTAAATGTTACTTAACCAACAGATTTATCATAAAAATGACGACCTAGAATGAAAAAAATATTTGAAAATGATCAGTATAGGGTTCTGGATGAATTTCATTGCAATCATGAATCGATCAATGTTAGACCACTATTGAAAACATGGGAGCATTGGACGGCCGTTTCCTCCTGTTGTGGGACTTCTCGCCATGCACATCCACAACCTCACATGTGGGAATGGAATCCAGCATATTTGTTCCCGTACTCGAACCCTTAACCTCCAGACCACTGAGCCAGCGTCCAATGGTGTTAATGTCTAGCTTTGACCAATCCACTATAGGAGTCATATACTAGGACGAAATAGATGTCCAGTACTTCATGGTTTCCAAAGGTTATCTAACTAATATCAGTTTATCATTCAACCTGGTAAGGACATATTAAAGCTATTAGTTTGAGCAGAATTAAATTACTGAGTTCAATAATATGAAATACTGAAATCAACATATAAATTATAACAATACATGAAATATAATATGAATTTATTGTATTACACTTGTTTCCTAGCTTCTGAATGTAATCCAAAAATTAAAATCCATAAACAATATGTAGTTATGTTGACCGGAGCTATTAACTTTAATCAAACAATCCCAGTTTACCATAGAATTCATATGGTAACTAATCAAAAGGTGGTACTCTGTTCACCTATACTACTTATTGCTAAACGGAAGTAATATTCGTCTTGAATTGACATTGACTAACTAGCTAAGAAGCACTGGACTGTCATTTCATTTTAGTTTAGAATTCTTCAACAACGCATGTTTTGTATCCGACCCATGACCTCTATCTAGGGGTGTACGAAGCAGGTGGTTCCACTGCAACGTCGATCTGTGGTCTTGTGGGAACTTATGACCCACACGTGGCTCGAACCCAAGTCACATATCACACAAATGTGACCTCTACACTACTATGGGAATTAATGACCTCTTGTAGGACTGTGCTGTTCGTACTGATTGATCACTGAGTAGTATTCAATGTGGAATTTGTCTAATCATTAAATGTTGCTCGGAGCTTACCAACCAGATGGCATTATATACTTGCTAGAAAGTGCTGACTATGTCGATATCCAGCTAATTTCCAGGCTGAATCCTGACTGTCTCTGATCCCCTAATATTCTAATGTTTAGTTTCTAACTTTAAAACACAAAATGGATTATTTCCTCTTATATCATGCAGTGCATACTTAAAAGATTAAGTTTCACAAACATACACACAACGGCTATTTATTTACCAAACTTTATTCCTGAATAAATTGTACTTATCTATCTATATTTCCTCAATTACCCAACATTTCTTTTCTATAATCCTAAAATTATTCAGGTATACAATAATAATCCATTTCATAAAAATGATTGACATGAAATTATTTATATGGTTGATTAAGATACATGGGTAGATACTTCAACTGAATAACCAATGAAGTAACCTTGATTGCTGTCTGTCATTTTTTTTTCTGCATACCATCCAAGTCTAATTTATCAATGACCCTCATTCTACTATATTGAAATATCGATTAAAACCCTATTTTATACCCAAAATAACTGAGAATAATCTTAGAGAAAGAAATGTTTATTCTCATTTTCTTTAGTTGATCAAAATTCTGTTTTCATTTTAGTAAGTGAATAAACAAGGAGATGGTCGAAAGAGGATAAAACTTATTATAAATGGGAAAAAGATTTTGAGTAATAAAAATATAAATTAAAATATTTTAAGAGAATAATCTAATTTTATATAGAGGTAGGGAAATTGTCAAAGATTCATCAAACTTCACCACCCTAATTTCATTTCGTTTTTGTGTCCAAATTATTTCAGCTAACATAAGTGGATGATGCGTTTTTCTAATCAATTTTATTTCAACTCTCAATGAATGTTAAACTGTGGCTAAAACTTTGTAATAAAGTTTTCTCCCATCCTCAGAATGATCATTTTTTCAACAAAAAAAATAGTATTTCGTTATTATATATAGACTTTAGAACTCCTGGAGTGGTTTGCACAAACATATTTTCTTTGTTGCTACCCTGAAAAACCTTGATGAAACTGATCTGTAACTAGGTTTCCCTGTAATTCTATTAGAGGTATGAGGGCGGTTGCTGATACATGATTGCCTATATTATTGAAAGGAAACTTCACTAGTGGTCTCGATAACGTGTGAGCCTGATAAGAAAGCCTAAGGAACAATTATTGCAGACCAGTTAAAGATAATTGTTTTCTAAGTACATAGTGATGTGTTGGCTTCGTACTTTGAAAGCCTTAGCACGCAGAATGGATAGCCGTAGAACAAGGTGAGGTGTACTATTTTTAGGTCAGGCATGTTTTATTCAACTGTAAAGTGCATCTGTAACCACAGTAAAATTAGTGTTCCCTTTTCCAGGATTACTTGCACCAGAATGTAGTGCTCCCATATGAATTTGAGCATATGTAATCCTAGACCACAGATAGTCTGTCACTGTCATAATTACCTAGTGTATCAAAGTTCATCACTTCTTGCGCAATACTTTCAACGGTTTAAATTTATCTACAGTATATTAAAATATCATTTCACTGAAGTTTGTGGGAACATTGTAAACGTGTTTGATACAGTTCAGTTAACTGAGTAAATTAATGTTAAGTGGTCGGGGGTAATCAGAAAAAAATTCAGGACTTAAACTCCGTGTTCGTTGACATTCATCAGTAAGGCGTGTCTGCAATCTTGAGGGAACGGATGTACTCTGTGGAATTCAAACATTCATCAAGCATATTTGTAAATCCTGTTTGCTCATGAATGACAACCAGCACGGAACCAAGTTCCTGAGTTTCCTAAAGACTACCTTCAACCATGTAATATCAAAATATAGCGGTTGTGATTTGAATCACTTAGAGTAATGATCAGATTCCAACTTAATTGACAGAATTCATTCAGAATCAAAAAGCTAGATAAATATGATATTATTCATTGCTCAGTGATCAAGCAATAAAAACTGTTGATTAGTTAATAGAAAAACTTCGCCTGTAGCTCTTCTAGAGCTATTGCCGGTCCCAATCCCGGGTAAACGAGGAGGTTGGACATGGGGTTAGCGACCCCATCCCGTAGAAAACTAACTCACTAAAAAAACGCTAACCAGAAAAATAATTCAAACCATTTAAACTCTGCTCTGGGAGTTAGAAAGTCTTCATTTAGAAGAATTATGACGCTTCATGGTGAAAGCCGAGTTCCTTCGGAAGCAACGAGGCCGATGCCCCTTCTAACAACCAGAAAAACAATTTTTATAGGTACATGGAACGTCCGAACAATGCGGGAGACCGGGAAGACCAGTCGAATAGCAACGGAAATGAGGAGATACAACTAGGCAGTACTGGGAATCAGAGAAACCCATTGGTCCCAAGCTGGACAGCAAAGGCTAGATAGATGCTACTATACTCCGGTCACGAAGAGGAAATTACTCCACACACTCAGGGAGTTTCTCTAATGCTGTCCAAAGTAGCACGAAATGCACTTGTAGGATGGGAATCTCACGGATCCAGAATCATCAAAGCGTCATTCAAAACAGCGAAGGAGGGGATCACAACGAATATTATCCAATGTTGTTTTAGTTTCTTAATTATTGGTAATGAAAATAAACAATATTCAGTATTCAGTGTAGTCGAATATTCTACAAAACAGAATCTATACGTCAAAACTAGAATATTTTTTATCATATTCCTCGATGAATTCAAGATCGATAACAACCTGACCCATAAAATTGTATGAAGATTGGGAAATGTTTGCTTTCATAAATTAGAAAAATTCTTAATTTTCAGCTCATTTATTTCTTAAGTTTACATCATGGACTTCTCTTAGTTAAATGACCATTGCAAAAACGTGGAAACACTGGACAAGTATTCCTTTCTAGTATATAACTCTTTAGTCTTTGGGATCTATAACGGAAGATCGAACCCAAGACATTGAGGTTCCCTTGCGAGTGCCTAATCTTTTGACCACTTGATCCACTCTGCTAGGGAGTTTCATATCCGAAAGAGACAGCTATCCAGTACTTTCTCTTATTCAGTGGTTGTTTAATGAATATTAGTGCATAATGTAAACTAGTAAATTCAATAGTTTCTACAGACCCTTAACAACAATCACTTATTTCTACTTTACATTGCGCAGAGTTATTGCCGATTGTAGGATGAAAAAGGAAACAGAAACCATATCATGAATTATAATTGAATTTCCATCATCAGCGAAACGGTTAACTCTATAGTTATTATTCAGTCATACAAATGCCAATCAAATCAAAAAATCTGAGTGAAAAAGCAGATGATGGATATAGTTTATTGTCTTATTTCAAAGTTTTGCCTGGATATTCAGACAATCGACGATTAAAAGCAACATGGGATTGGAGTTCTATGGAAGTTGCACAAAATCTACTTCAGCAGGCCAAAGTAAGTATTTTTTGTATGGTTTTTACGTATATTGGTGTTTTTTTTTGAAAAAGAGAATTCTATCAAACGTTCATGTAGTTGACCACATATTATTAATGTTACGACTAACGATACTATCTATTATCTGAAAGGAAAAATAGTATGAAACAGTGTTTAATGTTGTAACCGTAAAGTTATAGTTGAACTACGTTTACTACAATAATGTAAACAATAATCTCTCAGCTTTGTTTTTTGTAGTTCATATTGAAATATACAGTAGTAAGATAAATAATGAAAATTACTAAACACTCTATGGCTGTTTTTTTCTCGTATGTGACTCTACAAGAGTGAGCTTCCACGACCCAACTTGTATGGAGCATATGAATAATGGAAAAAGTATTTACAAAATAAGTCTATGTTAATCATCTCCACAACTTCTTGCAACCTCGGACGCAACGCGTTCCTTGGTCTTCCTCTTTTTCTTTTCCCTTCAGGATTTCAAGTTAGGACTTGTCTTGTGATACAATTTGATGACTTCTATAATATATATCCTATCTACCTCCAAACATAGTATGTGAAAAAATTAACGTAATCTTTAACTGAGTCGCGTCCGGCCAATGAAGAGATAGGGGTATCACGAGTCCTCTGAAAACATAAACTATGATTATAGGTTCGTATCCCTTTAGCTTCTGCTATTTTTATGAGACAGTTTCATTTTATCCATCATATTACCACTGTCAACTAGGTGTGTCAATATAGTGCTGTACCTTGTTTTTCTCTAGGTCTTTCCAATTCAAATTGGGAGATGTTTAGTCATTCGCTGATTATATTTCTTGTTATTACTTCTAAAATAACTGCTGAATTTGTAGATAAACGTCAAGGCTTATTCTTCGTTTGACTAGACATTGGTCTCCTGGAACTGGCAATTTAAGATTAGCTGTGTAAAATATCGTGCTACTTGCTCTTGCTAATATGTCATATAAAACGTCGCTAGCCATATCCACGTCGAATTAGAATTTTAGGAATTGGGGTTTCTTAGGAGCGGTCCATATTTCTAATTTATCATTTCGTGTCTAAAAGTACTTCTTTGCAAACTTTTCGTGTAGCTTACTTCTGCTAGCATGTTGTTGATAAACCCTAACACATTCTTATGGTATCCTTTGAGCAGATTGTTTTTGCTTTGCTTGTAAATCATCTAGCCAGATTTCTATTGTAGCGGATGTGTGTACAACTTTAGAAGTGTGTGCATTGGTAAGTAGAGGAGATGTTTCTGTACCCGCTTCTGCTTAATCAGCCATCACCTTATCTATCTAATGAGATGTCAAAGAACTTCAGTTTATTGTCACACTCGACCTCACCAGTGAAAATGATTGCTTGGTGTACACCGTTAAACTGATTTAGAAGCAGTCCCTCCATATTATTTTATATTATTAGAATATATGGTCTACGAAAGTAGAAGACATTTATGGACTGAAAGTATATGGTCTTAGCTCTCCTCGAATCATTTCTGGCGTATGTTGAGGTCACTCAGTGAGAAATGCCGAGTATAAATAAAAATCTAGGAAAATATGGCAAACTCGATAAGCCTGTGGATCCTTATCGACTGTGATAATTAAGAATTGTATTGCTTGTACTTAATAACCACCAACCTTAAAGCACGATTCTGGCGAGTATGGGAATAGGTTGGAAAAAAGTTAGGCTAGCCAAATCAACACTTAGTGTCAGTTCACGAAGTCACTGACTACTGGGTTGAGCCATGTTTATACGTGCAAACTATCTGGTTTGGGTTTGAACGATTATCGTAACCAGTGGTCGGATCACACTGCTCGAAACCGGTCGAAGTGATACACATACAATAAATCTTGTTTATTCTCAAATTGACCAATTGACACTGTGTATATCTTGGCTGCTTTGATCACTAAAACACTTTCCATAAAAGTGATATGATAAAAATTAGTCGATTATTAACATTGTTTTTTGATTGAGATCATGAACCGATTGATGTTAGACCACCGTTGGAAACCTGGAAGCACTGGACGGCCGTTTCGTCCTGTTGTGGGACTCCTCAGCAGTGCTAAGTAGTCCAGTAGGTTAAGCATTCGCGCGCGAGACTGAAGGCCCCGGGTTTGAATCTCGTGAGCGGAATCGCGTGTGCGCACTATTGAGGGGTCCTACGATAGAACGAAACGGCCGTCCAGTGCTTCCAGGTTTACAATGGTAGTCTAACATCAATCGGTTTATGAACTCAATCAAAAACTTAATAATCTGCACCTAGTCTACGACTCCACTAGGAATTGAACCTAGAACTTCAAGTCCTGTGAAAGTATTTTAAAGGTCAAATCTAACTCGTTTATTCAATTCATTCAATATGTTTTCTATTTTCATTTAAGCATTTGAGAAGTCACTCACTTGTCTGAGAGCGTCTGTATTCTTAAGTTTTTTACTTATTTTGCATTAAATAACTTCAGTGATTTTTTTTCATCAAACATGTCAAAACTAGACCATGAACACGTAAACAATTTATGGTTTCATATTTTGTTAACTCAGTGAGTACTAAGGAATGGTAGGTTTTAAAGTTACGTTGAACATTTGCCTGTCGCTTTTTTTTATCTTGGAATATCATGATTACTTATCATCCGATGCTTCATTCATAGATTACTTCAACTTTCTCAACAAAATAACATCACACTCTTTTCAGTTATAATAAAAATGAAATAATTAAGTTTCAGAATACTAATAGAATATAAGATTGTTCAACTACTAACATCCTCAAATTTTGTATAAACGCCAATTTATTAACAGAGTATGGAAGGTATACAATCTGCTTTTGCAACCTCAAGTGGTATCCGTCAAGGCTGTCCACTTTCTCCATTTTTGTTTATCTTCATCATAGACATACTGATGGAAATAATGCTCTCGTCGACTGAATTTTTGGGTATTGATTTCCTACAAGGAGGTTCACTTATGAACTTAGAATACGCAGATGAAATAGTCCTGTTTGGTGAAGACGCTGATAAAATGCAGTCTTTTAAAAGCACTGACAAACAATACCAGGATGTTTGGAATGCACTTCTCTCCTTCTAAATGCAAGTTGTTGCTTCAGGACTGGCCTGCCTCAACAACTGAACTAACGATAGGGAGTGAAGTAGTCGAACCCATCGACAACTTCACTTATTTTGGAAGTCCCCTCAGCCCTAATGGGTTGGTGTCTGACGAAATCTCAGCACAGAGTCGAAAAGCTCGTTTGGCTTTTCCCAACTTACGTCACCTATGGCGAAGGCGAGATGTCCGTCTATCAATAAAAGGACGAGTATACTGTTTTAATTTACGGCAGCGAAACATGATCATTAAGAGTAGAAGACACTCGTAACCTACTAGTATTTGACCACAGGTGCCTTAGAAATATTGCTGGCATCTGCTAGGATCACCAGGTAAGTAATGGTGAGGTTAGACAGAAAGTATTAAAGAGTAATGGTAAATCAGTTGATGAGGTTTTAAGTCTTCATCGACTGAGATAGCTGGGCCACGTGTTATGTATGCCTGAACACCGATTACCATATAATTAAATGCCAATAATATAGTATTCTTCAGGATATATTTCAAACTTTTAGACAACAAACTACTTCATGTTACACATATACTTTAACAAGAAAAGTATATCATACCTACTTAATATACAATAATCATCCAATATAGGACTTTGGAGATTGTTGAGTTTCTGTTGATTGGTTCATCATTTCAATAATAATTTGGTTGTTTTACCATTAGATATATATTTTAGTAGGGAACAGATAGACACCTTATAAAAACTAATATATTTATTTTTAAAAATATTAAAGTAACCTATGCGTTGTTATGACTACGAACGATATAATTGTTAAGAAGTTTACAGATTTTGTTAGGATCTACACTAATACTTAACTTACTAGTAGATTATTACAGTAATGCCAAATTTAAGCAGACTATAATTTGATCATAGAAGTTTGAGTATTTTCGAGGATAGTTTAACAAGACAATAATTAAACAAACACCCAAAATATTGGGTAGATTGGTGATGTCAAATTCATCAAACAAAAGTGAAGATAGGATACGTATACGTGGATGTTCAATACATATATCCAGCAAGTCGCCGTTCATTTAGTGGATGAATACTGAGTATCATAACATAGATTTTACTGGGGATTTCATTTCAATCTGTAACTTTCACTTTATCTGCTTTCTACATCTTAAAATCTGGAATGCACTACAATGTTATGCTCATTGAAGACATTTAAACAGCTTTAGATTATTAGAATGAAATCCCTAGCGAAGATCATGCTCTTGTATAGGGCACAGAACAACCGAATAAGCGGGAAAACTCTCGAAAACGCTAGATTTTTCATTTACAGGATATTGAAAATAGATAAATATCCTCATCTAAGAAATCTGTTTGAATTATGCATCACCTCCAGGTCGAACTCAACAAGAGTATAAGGATATAGTTCGGTGTAGCCTAGTTATTAGTCCAAAGGTCAACGCCCACAATTGTGTCATCTTAGTCATTTAGTTCACCAATAAAATCAAAAATATCATAAATTAGGAACTTTCCATACAATTGTCTTTTTATTAAGACTTACTATTCCAACCAGACGTCAGGCGAGTCAGTTAGTTATTAACCGTGTGAGTGACTTGGTTCGTATCGTAGGTTAATACCATATCTTACGATAGGGTGAGGTTATCTATCGTACCGGTTGTAGACTTTTCACAAGCCATTCGGAAATTACGTGGTCTGGGGAATTATTCATATCCATTCTCGGACGAAGAGGGCGATCTTCCTTATGTACCGTAGGGAACATCTGAGGAGTCACACACTAAGACGAAATGGTCTTCCTGCGCTTCCAGGTTTTCAAAGGTGGTCTAACATTGGTCGGTTCATTATCCCAATAAAAAGGATTAGTAAAAGTACTAGAATGCAATAACCAATCTTATAATGCAATTGCCAAAAACTTTCAATCAAACTCATGGTGTCGTCATTGTAACCAATGGTTAAGAACTGAGAGACATGGCCTGAAATCGCTCGCAAAGGTGTATAGGTGCATTTAAACTTTGTCTTCCATTAGATCGTTAGCTGCTAAATTCCTCAAAACATTTTAACGTTAGGAAGTACTGTTTGGTTTCTCATCGCGAACTGACATCAGCTATAATGTCAGAACGCTATTTGGCCATATGGATAAGTGAATTAAACAAAAATCCCCCATCACATCAAATCGGTTTGTCTACAGACTATAGTCCCACCCATAGTGTAATTTACACCACACCATATATAATTTACTTCCTTTGCCCCTAGTTTGGTCTGCCGATTAACGTTCTCGCAATATTATATTCCCCAAAAAATATTACTGCGGTTTCTATGGAATATAGTGGGCAGTAAACGTGGCTAAGGTGCTCCAATAGATTTATTCTACGAATTTATGTGGACTAAGTTTGGAGCCAAATACAGTTATTAAAGTGATTACGCAATCTCTACAACCACATTGCTACGACGAAACATCTGATGACTTCTTTTTTTCAGTGTTTCTCCAACCAATGTTAAGTGGCAACAAAAGTTAATGGTACATAGAAGGTAAAATTATATTGATTGCCAGTCATATGAAGTTCTTGTAATTTAGTAAACTATTTTGCTTTAAGTAAAGTTGAATCCACGACGTGCGTTTTGTTCGATTCGGAATATGACAACTGGGTGTATTACTTCAAGCATCCTACGCATTATGCACTCCAAATCACTGAGTTTAGCTAACTACTATCATTGTGCAACACGAAGATAAATTTATAAAAAATGTAAACTTTGTCGTTTTCAATATTAATGTAGATAACGAAGGGATTCAAATCTTTACAAATAGAAATAATTTGCTTTAAATACATGAAAGAAGCTTCATTTCCTTCACCTTTCTTTTTCTTTATCCATTAGATCCTATATTATAATGATCTGGATGTTGATCTACTCGGTCAAGAAATAATACAAGACTATCAAATTAAAGAATTTGATTTAACTAATCTTCATCCTGATACAAAGTACTTAATATGTTTTCGTGTTACTCGTAAAAGATTTGTTAGTTCTTCAATATCATCATCATCACCATCATTGTATATTCAAAGTAATGGAACAATAGCGACATTAACACCAACATTTAAATCATCAGTTCATCATCAGAACAAGACAAATATCGTAAATAATATGTCGGATACTTTACAATATCAACAAAAAATCAATAATTCAATGATATCTTATAAAAATATCTCATTTCTAAGTCGATCACATCGACAACAATCATCAATTAATATTCCAAAATTCAATAATGAATATGTTGCTGAAATGAAATGTCAAGTAACATTCACTCGATTTTTACATTGGACAGCAGTTTTATGTAGTTTAATAGGGATTGTTATAGCATTACTTCTATCTATTATGATATTTTCTATTTTGAAGTCACGTGCCTATAAAATAAAACAATCTGAAAGAAAAATGTATTTCAATCAAAAAGGTGAAGTATTATTGATTGGACATAAAAAAGTCGGTGATATTCATGATGATGATAATGATGATGATGACGAAAATAATTTATTAAACTCTAATAAATTACCTCATTTCTGTCATTATTCACACCCTCATTATCAACATCACCATCATCATCATCATCACCATCATCATTACTATCAAAACATCATCATCATCCACATTCACATCATCATCATCATTTACCACATGAACATGTTCAAAATCAACATATTCATTATCATTGTCGTTCTAATTCATCAAAGAAAACGTCCATTCGAAAACAGGAACCTTGTAATTATAATAAAATGATATCATCTTCACCATTATCATTATCCACTTGTTATAAATCATCATCATCATCAACATCAGATAAGTTAGGAAAAATGAAAGATAAGAATATCAAATTGAATATTCCTTCTGAAGTTAAAGAGGATAATGAAATGAATATATCTAAACAACAATTAGAAGATTGGGAGAATACACTGAAAAATATTGAAACAGATAATACAATAATAATTGAAAAAGATAACATGCTAAATTCTACTATAAAACCTGTTACTTATGGTAATAATACTGACATTACAAATGATATTAATCATAGTAATAACAACGATAATGAATCAACTATGAATAATATAAAAATTCAAAAGACCTCAGAAACTATTCTTCCTAACCCAATCATGGAAAGTAAAAGGACTGTTTCATTTAAAGATGACACTACTACTACTACAAGTAGTAAAACAAATACAACAACAATAATAACTACTACTAATAACATCGCTAATACACCTACACTTAATAATAACACTGACTCTAATAATAATAATAGTAATAATATAAATGATGGGATTCTCCAGAATAGTATACTAGAATGCAATAATTCAATCCAGTTAACTTCATTGGATTCACATAATGATGAATTAAATAATAATGATTTTATTAAACCTATCAGTATATCATTGACAGAATCCAGTCTTATTCATTTCAGACATCATATACCAGAATATACTCAAATGGATAATAGTAATAATCGATTACAGAGTAAAAATCCCAGTTCTTATTTCGAAATAAAAAGTCCTTTACTTAAAGAATTTGAACAAAAGTCATGTACTTCTATGTATCCTGTTGATAATGAAAATGAAAACAACATTAATACTACAGACGACAATCCCAAAATCAATGATAATAGGATGATACAAATTGTAACAAATAAACTAAGCCCAAATGAAGTAACAGTTCAATTACCAATAACACCAAATAATTCTCCCATTAATACTATTGGAAAAAACTCAACTGTATCCATACCCGGCATATCAACAAGTGATAATGATGGAAAACATTTCATTTCAAATAATGAAAACTGGTTTATAACATCATCGGGATCAACATCGAATGTATTAGTTGATAAAAACGAACAAAAGTCTATTTTTTGTACACAATTAATTGAAACCCTGTGATAGTAATATATATATCCAAAGACCTGTGTAATCACTACATTCATAGAGAAAAAGCAATACTTATTGTCATTCGATTACTGATTCTATTTCCTTCAGTAATTTTCTCTCTAGAATTTTGTCACTTCCACTCAGAAAAAAAAATACAACGACGATTCCAATGTTATACAGCTTATGATTAAAGTTGCCTATTAACTAACTCAAGGTAACTAGTTCATACGGTTTTTCCCAATAATATAGAAGCAATAATATTTGTAGTAGGATAATATGAATTCATTTATTTTGTGAATTCTTTCCAGTTGATTACAATCTACAAACAAGGTTATTAATTGTCAAGGAAACAACACAGATACACATACTCTATGTCTGAATGATGTTGAATATAGTTGGATTTGATATTTAGTTTAGTAAATAATCAATGATTGTTGAAGAATCATTCAAACATTAATTTATTTGTAAGCTAAATATGTAAATATTCTATAAAATCGAGAAGAGTATGGAAGCAGAATTTCTAGAAACCAAAGATTGAACTGATCTATTAGGGTATGAAGAACTAGTGTAGTTGTAAAATACCCAAATGGTGTCCAGTTCTCCTGAAAACCAATGTAAAACTTTATTTTGGGGGGATATATTTAATATTGTGGATAAAAAGTGATAACATTACCGTTTCCCCCTTAGAACTTTTATGCTATTCATAAGTTTTCCTCTTAGAATATTTACATATTTAGCTTACAAATAAATTAATGTTTGAATGGTTCTTCAACAATCATTGATTATTTACTAAATTAAGTATCAAATTCAACTTTATTCAACACCATTCAGACATAGAATATGTGTATCTGTGTTGTTTCCTTGACAATTAATAACCTTGTTTGTAGATTGTAATCAACTGGAAAGAATTTACGAAATAAATGAATTCATATTATTCTACTATAAATCTCATTGCTTTTGTATTTAAACAAAGGGAATTCAATTGAATGTATTCATAATACGGATCTACTTTCTCTTATTATAAAATATTTATGATAAAAAGTGTATATATATATTTCTATTTTATCAGAAAATTGATGTCATTTAGATGTTGGTAATTTCAGTTTTGTCTTCTGAAGGTTGTGTTATGACAAAATAAAGAAATGAAATAGACTACCAGGTCTTCTTTTATTTCCCTTTTCTCATTTTATTATGTCGATAATCGGATTCTTGGCCTCGAACTTTGATAAATAAAAGATAGGGCAGATAGTAAGTATATGTATATAGATACATGTACCTGACCAACAGATTAAAAGATATGAATGGGATCGCTGTATTATTATTATTACTATTCTTAATAATAACTTGGTTCGATATTATATGTTTGTATAATATGGAATTCTCAACACATGTTTTAAAAAGTTTCTCCTAATTTTAACTGAAATTAAATGAAGTGTTTCTTAATAGGACAAGAATCTGTATAACGTTCAGTTAGAGGTATGTTAAGGAATGGAAATTATTGACTAGGCTAGCACTTATAACCTGTTCATCGTATAAAATATTTTTTAGTTAAGCTGTTGTAGAGCTTTTCCACCTTTGTTTGTTTACATGGACTCTGATTTATCGGCATCTCGTCCTGGTGGAAGAAATACAAGGGGAAAGATGTGAATGGAATGGATGGTTCATATCTGATGCTATAACATTTGGCAGGAGTTTGCAAGCTGTCAAATGTCTATCCCCAACCATTTTCATAATGACCTCAAAAGATTCATTACACACAGTCTACTGGTTGGAATTGAGCTTAATACAAAACACTTAATTAATCGTCCTTATTCAATTAATACATGCACATATGTCATCAGATTTGCTAGATAAACCGTTGAATTTACTTGGATCATGCACCCTAGATCTGAGTCGGAACCTTGTCATAGTTCCTCAATTATATTAGTATAAATACATACATAAATAAAGTGAATTTCAACCAATAACGGCACAGGCAGTTTATCGATTATTAATTTAACCAATGAAGTACAAGGAAAAAGGGATGAAAACTGATTACTAATGAGTAATATGGTCGTAAAACAAGAATTTTACGTATGTCCATCCAGATCTTAAATCTAAGACCAGTTAGATGACAATAAGCTGATTAAATTAGACGAAGTCTACTCTTTCTGATCAATCTGATTGCCATTAATACATTTATAACACTGAAACTGCAACAGCGATTGGTACTAAAATTTACGCTATAGGGAATTTTCTGAAAAAAAATTCGAAGATTCAATATATATATGTACAGACAATGTAAAATTCACATTTGAAAGTGAACACTTCAGACAAATAGATGGTGTAGCTATGGGCAGCCCTCTAGGACCATTGCTAGCTGATGTGTTCATGGGATATGTGGAAAATTTAGTTGGAGACTCAATTCGAAAGATGAGTCTGTATAAACGATATGTAGACGACATAATAATCATAGGTGATAAAATTGAAGACATAAGCCACTTGTTAGAAGAATTCAATAGTAGTCAAAACCACATTTCTCTTACATGTGAAGAAGAGAAGAACAACCAACTTCCTTTTCTTGACATCCTGATTACTAGGAGAGATGATGGTTCCATCAAACGTGCTACATATAGAAAACCAACATGGACAGGACAATATCTTAACTTTCATAGTCACTGCCCTATTCATTATAAACGTGGTTTAATAAAGAGCTTATTCAATAGAATCAATCGTATTTGTACTAGTGATACTATTGAAGTAGAGATGAAGCTCCTGACTGATGCGTTATTCAATAATGGTTACCCTTTGAAGTTCATAAACCGCTGGAAGGGTTGCAATATGACTAGACCTATGATGCTTCTGGCACCCAAAAAGCGAGTTTATATTACGCTACCATTCAGAGGTGACACAAATAGTCTCATGTTGAAACAGAGACTTAAATTAGCTATCAACCGGACATTTTATGCAGCCCAACTTGTCATTATCGAAAAGACAAGGTCTATGTTTCACCAAAAGCCCAAACAGCATGAAAACGATTGTGTCACATCCCATTGTGTCTATAAATTTACATGTATGTGTGGAAACACGTACGTAGGGAGGAGCAATCGTGATTTGCAATTAAGGGTGGGTGAACATATACCAAAATGGTTGCAAAATCAGATGAATTCCAATGGTGAAATAAGACCACAGGATAGACAGACATCATCATCCATTGCGAAACATTTGATTGAGACGGGTCATAAGGTTGATATCAAATCATCATTTGTTGTGTTGTACAAAAGCCTTCAAGGACGTATACTAAGGTTTATTGAAGCCTTGGCTATACGAAAATTGAAACCCCCTTTATGTGTTCAAAAACAATTTGTACTTACACTTAACCTACCCTGGTAGTACTGATTTACTGTCCAGAGTGGTAATCACATTTGTTTTTGTGTACTTTAATATTTTTCCTTTGTTATGACTTACCCTTAACCTGTCTAGTTGACCTTTTAATTTTTCATATATAAATGTTCTTAACAAGTATATGTGTGATCAGATTGTTCGAAATGTATTGCGCAAATATATCACATAATTCTGATAAACTACGTCTTCTCATTGCATTATCGAAATTTATCAAAGGGACTAATTGTTTTAAATATATAGACTGTCATGAATTGGTGAAGTAACGAGGGAACCACTGAAAAAGAATTGAAAATGGTTAAATTGTTTCCTATTAATTTGAAATAACTCGAGAGTTCAGAATCACGGCAACAAACAAGAATAAATTTGCCAACCCTTTTGTTTTGTGGCAGATACATTACCATTGTAGTTATTAAATCTTCACAAAATAAACTAACTCAAAAATACCGAAGTAGAACCACTGTGTCATTGAAAAAGAAGTAAACTCAGCGAATGAAATTTTATTCTTGACGATTTCATTTAAGCTGTAAAATCGTATTTATAGTTACGTAGGCACAGTAATACTCGGGTGTGCCTTTCGAAAAGCCTCCCTTTTATGGCCAATATAATCTGGTACATATGAGTAAGTGGACTGATAAATGCACATTGATCTGACTGGACGCATGAGCTTCCCAAAGAATTACAGGAGTCAGTCAAAAGCTCAGTATTGTAGCATTTACTGAATTCGGGTCGGTCCATTTCACCAGAAGCCTCCTTCAAAATTATACATACAGTCAAAAAAAATCGGCACAAGAGGAATGTGAATCAAAAATGATTTAAACCAGAGGCTATTGCTATCCATCAGTTTAAACTTAATATTTGTGTACAAAAACAACATATTCAGTCCCTTATACTTTCATGGTCTTAACAATTCTTTCTATCTTCCATAATCTATTGTCTTTTTAATTACTATTTCTAGTCATTTCCAATTATTTTCACAACTACTAGTTAGCTATTATTATAACTTTTAATTATTCTGTTCGTCCTAGATGTTAAATGGACTATTATCTTCACTTTACCATTTTTCATTAGCCGATTATTACATGACATCTTTTCAATGGCAAGATACCACTTCAAGATTTTAAATATTCAACAACATTCTGTTTTACAATCGACTACTATTTTAGCAAATAAAATTTCAAAACACTTACAGACTATTCAGAGAATTTTTCTTTCTGACGATATTACATACACAGCACTGCTCAACCATAAGTTTACTTGCTCTCGAGGAAGCAGGTTAAATTGGTTCCATAAAACGAACGCTTTTAAAACTTCATAAAATTAATCGTTATAGCTTTTAAAATGACACTTCATGTCATAGCGCTCGGATTTTCTTCGTCTTTACTTAATAGGCCGTTAATTTGCCGTAGACGAATATCTATATTAGATTCCCTCTCAGTGTTTATTCTACAGGACTTCAACTCAACTCAGATCAAGAACACGTGATTAATCAGGCTAGAACGTACCAAAAACGGACAACAAGCCGACACACTTCAACATGATTACAATAATAATAAAGATAGGAGAATATATAACTCATCTACCTCCTGTCAGACTATCTACTAGTTTGACTAAGCAAACAACCAATCATT